TCCAGCACTCATGATTCTCAATGTGACTCAGAATACAATTATATTCCTGGGTATATTGTAGAGGATGAATCAAATGATACTAGTCACGAAATTGGAACTCTAGAAGCAGTTGATAGCGAAATTTTAGACGATTATGGTGCATGCCTTTATGCCGGTGAACCGCAAGCTAGCGAAGAATGCTACGCGCGATATATAAAAAATATGCGGAACACAAGGAACAAAACGAGATACTACAGCGAAGATAGATGGCCTTGAAGATATTAAATTATGATGAGGGTAAACATAGATTTATTTTAATATTTAACGTAAAGTAAGTATATCTGGCTGATATATTTTGCGGGATATGGGGCAAATACGGCATCAGTCACGTCAAAGAGTTAAAATTACACTCCCTCCAACCTTCGCAAGAAAATACAAGACACGCGATCAAGGTAGGGGCCCGGAAGGACTGAAAAGCGGCGGGGGCAGAATCTTGAAAAAGGCACTTTTCTTTTTTTGTTCAGGAGCTCGTAGTGGTGTCCGAGAGCATCGATCCTCCCCCGGGAAATTCAGTTTTTAAATCTAGAGTCTTTGAAATGCCATTTCATGCGTTTTGGGCTGAGATTTGACATAATTTTGAGTATTAATAAACGCAACGTAAAATACAAAAAAACAGTGAAAATTTTAAGTGTATTGGTGGAATATTTTGGTAGCTGATGATTTCTGATAGTTTGCAGCCCAATATTTCTATATATTGTACACTAAGCCAGTTTTTAATAGATTATAAATAAACAGTAACAACATAATACGTCTGCTTCGTGTAATAATATCAAATTCATATAATATTCGGCATATCTGTTGGTCAATACCAGTATTCAATAAAGCCGGAATCCGAGGTTGAATCTATCAAACCTTGAACTGTCCAAAGTACTTTCGCCGTTTTTCATTCACTCGGACGAAATCTCTGGCAACCTTGGTGGTACAAACATCGTCCATGGTGGCAACCTTGGTGGTATCAGCAACCTTGGTGGTACAACAAGCATCGTTGACCGTATGGCCATGATTTAATTAATCTGTCGCATAGTGCAGAAATTTCTCTCTGCGGTTGCTGATCCTAGTGGTACAGTAGTCAGTATGGTAAAGACACAATAACTTGTGGGTTTCTGGAAGGGTTTCTTTTGAACTTTGTTTCTCGTTCAAGACATAACAAATAGTGGAAACCTTAGTAATCTTCTTTAGGGGAACTGCATGTTGCCTCCTAATTGTACAGCTTGATGTAGACAGGAACCTGTTCCAGCTCGTTATTTAGCTTTTCTATGTCGATTACGTCGGCAGCAACGCTGTCAAAAGGTTCATCATTGGTGAGGTCTTCCTTATTTGCGTTAAGTCGTCAGTTGTAGGTCAGAAATATTGTACAAGTGAAAACGGAAACAGTGCAAAATGTTGTTAATTAAACATACTGGCACAATATATAATATCCCAACGAAAAAAGCGAGTCAACTAACTATCACGGTTCAGTGCTTCTTATTTATAATATAGGCAAGGAAGTTAAACAAACTAAAAACTGATCTTAATAAGGTTGCGTATCTTGCATTGAGTGGAAAGTCAGAAGAAGCTGGAATGCTCTAAAACAATCTAGAGCAGGGAAGACTTATCGCGCCGAATGCGTTATTGTAGTGCCACTCTGCCAGAGTCTAAATGAACCATGAAATGAACGTAGTCATAATATATAATTATACATATGACGGCCAGTCAACAATGAAAATTTATTAGTTGCCTGAAGGGGCAACCAGTTGCCTCCGCACTGCCCCCGCACAGTTTGGGCAGCGGGGGCATCAGCCCCCGCTGCCCCCGTGTCTCCGGCGCCCTTGGATCAAAGAAAATATATTCAGAGCAAATTTCGTATGTATTCTTGTTTGAAGCTACAGTGTTTATCTGTAATCACGTTTATTTAATACGAACGATTGAACGATTGTATTTTCTCGCAAGTTTTCTTAGAGCCCATTTTTCCAAACAAATAGGTCTGAATCCCGAGTGTAAAGTAATACAGCACGGCGGCTGTGGCACATCTTCTAAGACCTTCAGAACTTCCCCACAAGATTCCATCTCCTGACAGCACCAAGCTTCGTGTGTATATTGTATATGTATTATCACACAATCGCCGCAATTACACTTGTGAAATATGATACAGGTGAGGGAAGTGTGGTTTGAGTGGTTTGATGTGACTGATACCGTATCAAGATACGAGAGATACTCATTTTATGTTAAAATGTTAAATAAATCTATGTTTACGCTCACCATTATTTAATATCTTCAAGGCCGTCTAATCTTCGCTGTACTATCTCGTTTTGTTCCTTGTGTTCCGCATAGTTTTAGATATCGCGCGTAACATTCTTCGCTCGCTAGCGGTTCACCGGCATAAAGGCATGCATCATAATCGCCTAAAATTTCGCTATCAGCTGCTTCTAGAGTTCCAATTTCGTGACTAGTATCATTTGATTCATCCTCTATAATATACCCAGGAATATAATTGTATTCTGAATCACATTGAGAACCATGAGTGCTGGAAAACATACAAAATATAAAGAAATGTATAATGCCCGTCGTGATTAAGTTCCTTAAGCTACGTCGTCCCAGACTCTTGTTGATAAGCGACAATTTTACAAAAATCGCTGTTTAGAGCCTCATATCCCGTGAATGAAACGAGAAAACCATAAAATGTTAAAGAACCTATTTACTAACTTTTTGTCCGCTACTCAAAAATAAAAAAAAATTGTGACATAAGCACTTTAATTAAAAATTGTGAAACAAACAAATTACTCACGAAATTATTTGCTCTCCAGTTAGTTGCAATTTTCTCCTGCGACATTTTGCGTCATCACATTTTGCGTCATCCATGCGTCATCACGTAACCCATAGAAAATTGACAGCCCAAGAGGGGATGGAAAAGGGTGATTGCTAGAAAGTATACTTCAAAATAAGGTTTTCGTTTTTATAACGTAGAACAAACCATCCTAACGCATAAATAAACCCTAACCCTAATACTAACCCTAACCCTAACCACAACCCTAACCCTAACCTAACCCTAACTTATTTAAACTAGGGATCCAAGGATAGTGCAATGTTTCTGAAAACTTGAAAAGTCATCATACTGGCGGTAATATCAAATCTTTCAAACATATTGTTCATAGTTTTGCAATTCATTTGTCCAAATGATGCGGTTCGCGAATGCAAAACTGTTGCAAATTAATTTTGTTGTAAATTACCGGTAAACTTGAAGTAGACGAAATTTTGAACTTCTAGAGGAACTTTTGAACTTATTACAGCCATTTTCGTCCAACCATACCACAAGTCGCAAAAATTTCCGAGCGTTTGTTTACGTTTGTGACGTAGCTAACAGTAGCTGCAGGAAGCTATATTTTTAATGTCGTACATGATGTCTCAATTGCTTATATACGTAACACAGTATCAAAAGATTAGTTTTGTCGATATCCCTGTATATTATTTTGTAGCATCTCAATTTATTTAATATACAGAACGCAGACAAAATTATACTTACGATAAGATTAGGCCGATAATTTCGGCCACATCACACATTAATTGCCAAAACAGTAAATTTGCCAACTTTTTATAAACGTAAACATTGTCATTGACATTGACATTGTATTGAAAAATGTAACACGATGACCTACGAACTGTTGTACCTAAGACATAATAAATTTTAATCTTGAATTCAATTAAATTTATTGAAACAAAGGCTTTGTTATTAAAAGCTAGTATATCTCGATTAATTAGCTATAGTTAGTATTATGCCAACAGCAAACTTCGCGCTTGTTATTATCCTTTTACTTCAATTCCGGCACAAAAACCAAATATCTTAGTATCTCTCATACATTCATGCAAGTCATACATAACTATCCATATCAACAAAACTCATTGCGGCTGTCTGCATGTGCACAGGCTACAATATGCGGGCCTTGAATAAATGAATAATTAAAATATTACAAAAAATTCTGTCAAATTCTGCGACACCTATTGATGGTATACCGTCTGTTCACAGGCTGTATATACTATGAGACTATACAGCACGCAAGTTATATTTTTATATCAGAAAAATGCTGTTTTTATATGACTATGCTTTTATTGCAGATTATAAATTTTCATATAAAGATAGACTAGGGTTGAAATTATAGATTTAATATAAACGAGCGTGCTATAAATGTGGAACAAGAGCTGTAGACAAACATTTATATATAGACATGATATTGCATGTTATACTGCACGGGGATATTATATTTCATGTTATTTATAAAATAACACGTGTCTACCTATACTGGCTACAGTCATAGAAAGAATAAAATATAGTTGTACAACTAAATTTCGTGACATAGCTACGAGATTTAAATTGAAATATAAGAATATCATAAATAGCAATGCAAAAACTCGGGCCTCGTATGAAATGCAACGAGTTGAAGCCCCGAAATAGAGTCTAAAATTGCATAGAAATAATACATACCCATGTTAAATCGTTTGCCCAAGGCCTGTTCTAAAATTTCGACCAGCACTCATACGCGTCGTCATATTTATTTGTGCGTGCTGATTTTGCTGACTTGCAGTTCTCACGAAAATTTGATGATACGGGGGGTGCTAATGGCACGAATCCCCCATATTTGTTATCTCAGTAAACTTTTAACATTGCTGTAATGTAGACGTTTAAACATTGATCGTCAAACTAAATCAAATTTAAGAAATTTTACTGTTGCTATAAATACCGTTTTAACGTTAAAAATTCTCCAACCTTGAAGTTTTTTTTAGATATGGCTTTGAGATAACATTTGTAACTCCCCCCGGAAAGTTTACTCTATGTATCTCTCGCTTGAATTTCGCCACTCATCACAATAGTGCAACGTTTCCATGGAAACATTGCACTAAAAACGTCATTTCGCATGAGAGTGACGCACTTTGATGCATCCAAGACTGCAATTCCTTCACGAGTATTGTGATAAATTTGGCAATCAACTGTGACACATTTTGTCGCATTGGGTCCTACTGTCAGGCCATCCTTACAGTTATTATACATGCGACAATTCCTCACTGTCAGTATGCCATTGTCGCGCACTTCTAGGCCAGCTTTCACATTACCAGAAAATGTGCAATTATCAACAACCATATTACCAGGTCCCACACACAGCAGCCCACCGGCTTTGCAGTTTGTAAAGTTACATCGTTCGGCCTTAAAGACACCGCTAGATCCAACAGCTGCTAAACCATCACTATTGCAAGTAAAATTGCAGTTAAGGAGCTTAACCCAACACCCATCATCAGCTCTGATTTGACCTTTATCAATGGCAAAAGAAATATTTGCAAACATACATTTTTCAAGCAATGTGCCACCTAATTCGAGTTTTAAAGTAACAGAGGCATCTGATTTTGCACCAACTATGATGCAGTTCTTCACACGTATGGGGACGAAAGGCACTAAATACTCTTTTGATCCCAAAATTATAACCCACAGACAGTCTTGTGTAGTGGGCGAGAACAGTGCTGTAACTAACTGATCTACAGTATGACATATGAAAATACGGTCCCTTAAACCTGGGAACGCTCGACCTTTGAATGGATTATATTCTGAAAAAATACATCTACAGGTATCATCTTTTAGGGAAAAATAATAATAAGCTAGTGCTGCGGCTATTTCAGCACTGACTTTCTCATCAAGTGCCAAAGCCTTTCTAGCATAGCCCTTCCAACAATCTGGGAATCGAGATATATATTCATTTGCATCTCGCAAAGCGTCATCAAGCTGATTAAGCTTGATATAAGCTGAAGCACGGTTTGTCAGTAGTAAAGCGTTTAAGACAGTTCTACCTTTACTCATATCTATGGCAGCAGAATAAGCATCTACCGCTTCTTTGTAGAGACCAGCCTTAAATTTCATATTCCCATCTAATCTAAGCTTTTCAATATTTTTCTCCAAATTATGCGACTCAGAGCCCTCGATCTCCGTCCTAGCCTTTTCATCAAGAGGTTCAAGGGTGCTCATAGGAGGTACAAAACATTTTTTGATCACAATCTGAAGCCACTTTGGCAAAGGGATAACATGGGAAGGAAACAGAAAGTTATTCGAAAGACTGTTTTGAATTGTGTCGTACTCTTCTACGGGAATCCAATCTAGTATTAGATAAACAAAATTTAGTGTGCGTTTAGCCTCTTCTTGTTTCTGATTAACACTTAAATGAACAACGCATTCATAAAAAACTTTGGCTGTTTCGAAAACAAAAAGCGAATCTAGACATTTTGGATCTGGATTTGCTAGTAATTTCTCCACATTTTGTTGAAGATGAATGCCATGAAAACAAAGCTTAGACCCCAAGTAATATTGAGAATGGTTTCTAGGCAAATCATAGACTGTCAAGCGCCCCTCTATACCAACATTACCCAGTAGATGTTTTGGAGATGTGCATTTAGAAAATGCGAAAGAAAGCAAGCGTACTGCATCAACAAAACTCTTAGCTTTTTCCTCAGGATCAAGATTTTCCCTGACTAGCTCTTGAACTAGGCGATGCGTACTGACAGAAAGCGCATGGACATACGTGAAAAGTGAGAAATCAGTCAGCAGTTTAACAACTTGACGACAACCGAGAGGTGAGCTCACACGATCACGAAATGCCTTGTCTTCAATTGGACGTTCGCCAACATTGACTAATTCTTCTTCGATCTCGCTTGGATTAAGGAATGCATAAGCGTTCATGAGTCGAATAGCGGACATACCGTGCAGGCTTTCTTTGATGTGTTTGATATTTAACAACCATGTCGTGTGAACCGCCAAGCGTTCAGGTGATTCATAGAGTGATACTGGCTTTGCTTTCTGACTTTCCAACAGTTTCAAGCGTTCAGTTTGAAATTGTTCAAGGTAATCAGATAGGTCGCAATTAGGAAGTGCGTTGAGTTTAAATATTAATTTACATGTTAAAATTGCCTACATGCTTGATATTTCAATTTGCAATTGCCGTCCTACACATGTTTTCTAAACTTGACCGCACAATAATTGCAAGAAAAAGGAGATTAAGTTGTCTAGTCAAAAGTTATTTTGAATGCAAATTTTGTATAGGAATTTTATAATATAGTATGTTATATCTGATATAGTACTAGTTGTTAACTACGGTAACCTACTGTAAAGCAGCAGCGAAAAATACAACTGTTTCTGAGAAAAATCAAACGTATTGCCACGCAATTCTGGTGCAGCACTCCGTCCAACTGAAAACAGGGTCAAGTTTTTGAGTATTGCGTAGAACTTTCCGGAAAATATCCATAACCTCCTGCCCACATATTGGGAAGGGGTGTCATTACATCAAAATTCTAAAACCTCTTTATTTCCAGCCGGTATTCAAATACAAAATTAGCCTGCATAGCCAGCCCTCATTTTAATACTGACAGTAGGTTGTTACTCAAGTTTCATGCCCATTGGCAATCTTCAGACAACTAAAAGTTCTAAAAATGTCTATAATCCCCTGCCCCATATATTCTAAAAATATCCATAACACCCTGCCCCACATATTGGGGAGGGGGTCATATACAGTATATTGACCGCAAGTCTGTCTGTACTAAGGCAATGCCATGGATATATGGACTTTTATGGGTAAATATTTATACATGTTCAGGAATCAGGCCTAACCTTCGGCGGCTGCAAAGCATGCCTCTGTTGGCCTCTGGCTGGAATTCTGTCAGGTACAGCACTCTAACCAATTGAACTACAGAGTCCATGAACTTGAACAATGAAATGAGTCTGGCTAATAATACTGTGAGCCACTCTGCATCTGGACGCAAAGATACATGAGCATGCAGTTAATGCTTGGCAACTGATTTCTGTAGCACTGCACCGGATTGATGCAGGTTAATTGATTCCTGTCAACAATTTGGCAATGAATTCGGGCTGGCTTCGTCACTGTATCAAAGAGTCAATAGCAGTATTTTTTATAACATGTCCCTAAAAAGTCTAAAAGTTTATAAAATTTATGTTCCAAATTTCCATCTATTATTATTGTTATTATTTAACAAAATTTCTGTTGGAAGCTCCACTCATTAAATGTGGACAAAAACCTTTGTCAAGTGAGATGCCCAAAATCCTTAATGTATTATTAATATGCGCGAATTGCAGCTAATGCTGAGGGACTTGGCAATGTAGCTCAGTTTGCGGCCTTGCAATTCAGGTGCAGCGTTGTAACTAATAGTTAACTCCTGCCTAGGTCTGAAAATGTATAAAATTTACCTTAGATTACCTCTGTCTTAACCTTTGATCACTGTGGATAACTTTGATAACTGTTAAGTTTCTTCAACAATACTACCTTAGATTGGCTTAGACAATACTACCTTAGATTGCCTTTTTAGACTACTTCATACTTTACCTATACCTGCATGCAGCTTAGACTCGTAACTCATTCATTAGGTATATATGTTTATATCATAGGACTGGTTTTATATTCACAGAATGGTGTGCTAATAAAAAACTAATTTAAACTAATTATAAACTGAATATATAGTGAGGTTATAGAGTATTCCTCGCCTGATTTATTAAGCCAATGTTTAGGAATGTTATGCCTTATAATACCTCAATAAAATAGACCTTAAACTATAAATTTTTCCGCTGCTATTCTATAGGATTTTTTAAAACTTTCATATCTTGTACAAAATTATCTCCTCTTTCCACTGATTATTGAACCTTGGGCGGCATCAATCAATAGACAATCGAAATTCGCCCTTATACTGTACTAATATGTAAGACAATACTAATTATAGATACATAGCGCGCACGCACTGTCAAGAATAGCATTTTAAACTATAAATTTCTCCGCTGCTATTCTATAGGAATTTTTAAAACTTTCATATCTTGTATAAAATTATCTCCTCTTTCCACTGGTTATTTAACCTTGGGCGGCATCAATCTATAAACAATCGAAATTCGGCCTTATACTGTACTAATATGTAAGACAATACTAATTATACAATCAGTGACAAAACACTTTGGACAAAATGCCAAAAGAGCGTACATTTACAACACAATCGACCTCCCGCACCCACCGTTCAATGTTGTGTGTGGAAATACCTGCGCCAAATGTTTCTTGCCAGCCACCCAACATTGTTTAGGGTGGGGGAGGGAGGGATAGTCGTTTTATGCTGAACAGTATTTGGAAAGGCGCAGATATGTCTATATTATATCATTGTCCAAAAACCTTTTGTCACTGATTGTAGGCAGCTGGCAGAATGTTGTATCATAAATATAAAGTTTTTGTTACATGTTCAGCCGTGATTAAAAAGTTTAAATTTACCAAGAACCTGATCAAGTCTTTACCCATTACTTGGCTGGTCCGCCGATGATAAAGTAATTAATTTCAGTTAAACGTGATATAGGTATAAATTCATACACGTATAAATGGGCTTAAAATGTAGGGTTGGGGAAACCATTCCTTATAGCATGGAGCGAGTTTTGCAGGTCTTAGAAGGTGACACGGTTCATTACTCCATCCCCGAAAAATAAGATGAGCAATGATGTTGTTCTCGAGGGACGCACGCCATTCCTTGCACCGTGTGACGCCCCACTTGATTTAATTAACAATCGATCTATTGATCACGTGAACACAGAAATGATGAATGTAAGTTGGCGAATGTTTCCGCTCCATAGACATATTCCGCGTGATGAACAAAGAAACATTGCGGTTTGCGCTCGGTGCTTTGCTGAGTTAATATTATACGTTGAGCAGTGATTTGTAATGATGTGTTTTAATTTAAAGGCACAGTTCAGCCTGCTGAACGATGGTTTTTAAGGCGCATTTGAGCCCTTTTAATTTAATTGAAAAACTAACTAGGAAAATCAATTAAGCATAATTCAAGATCACCAAACTTAATGTTTTTAACATTTTAAAACATTTATATTGTTAAAAACATCGAGTTTACTGATTTTGAATAATGCTTAATTGATTTTCCTAGTTAGTTTTTTCAATTAAAAGGGCTCAAGTGCGCCTTAAAAACCATCGTTCAAAAGGCTGAACTGTGCCTTTAACGTACATTAAGGCGTTAACAAATAAATATTCTGGTCGTCACGAACTAATTAGCTGATGACACGTCAACGAATTCCACAAGAATCCCAGTCACATTTTACGTAGAAAAGGCAATTAAGTCAAACAATTATTCTGTTTTTCTCTCTTAGCTTATTGTGCTTATGTCTAAGGAATTGGTTATGTGGATAACTTCGAACGAAATCAATTTGATTCAATGAAATTAAATTCCGACTTTCGTCGACGATTCCCACTATTTATAGTATATTGAAATATGACATCATAATTAGTAAATGGAAAAGTGGGAATCGTCTACTTTTAACCCATTTTCTTTGTCTTTTATAACGAAACGCGTGCATATTTGAAGCCAAAGTATTAATTTATTCCTCACTCACGCAACTGTGCATTTAAATTCCACACAACGATCATATACATGTGAGAAAATATGGAAATTATTACGCGAACATGGAAATTATTACGCGAACAAGTGTGGGATTCGTTGATACGGAAATACGATATACGATACGTTGTCGTAGTACCTTTCTCAGTATTTTATTCTAAAGCCGCCAGCCTGCAATACAACGTACATTCGCGTAGGCATGCTTGTGATAATATTATTAAAATAATCTACATAAATATTATATAAAGTTTTTATAACTCTAGTCTTAAGTTGTCTCCATACACGCCCTCTAGGGGCTAAAGCGTCACAGAAGAAATCCCGTCTGAATAGAAACCAATATTTCGCCAGAAGAATCCGGGCTTTGTGGAAAGAATCTTCTTGCATTGTTGCGCAAACGCCTTTCTTCCCGTGCGATCACGGCTTGTTAAAACCCCCTTTTTACGCGCAGGTAATTAATCAAATCCAGCTGCCTTCACCTCACGATAAGATGTCCTATAGGAAATATGACGTGATAGCAGCTTTCTGTGCGCAATCAAGCGCCTAACAGTAAAATTTGGGTCATCTAATATAATTATATCGAATAAACACACACACACATCAACATGTTGCTTGAAGCACTTTGTGTTTATTGCTGCTTAAACGCTCGAGCTAAATGCTCTTACATAGTAAAGAATAAATATACTCTACTTATTCCAAGATCTGAACCTTTAAGATCTTGGTGTGAAGATGAAAAACCCAACCTGCATAAAACAGGGCGGAGTATTTAAAGTTCTCTTGAATATTGTCACTCAATAACATTCGTGTTATCAATTCCTTTACAGATTATTAATACGATAATCTAAAACACACTCCTGGGAAAACCGTTCTTCACTACAATGTATAAATGTTCACGTTCGTATTTTACGCATTCGCCTAAATAGACAAGTTTTTAGACACCTCGAATTGCATGCTTGCCGATGGTTTAATGTACTTCTTCTTCGACTGTACCGACTTCCATCCTCCATGACTCTGCATTGACAGGTTATATAATTATTATTAAGCTACTGTTCTTTTGAAGCCGCCGTTTTAAGTCAAATACAGGCTTCTCGTTCGCTGCGCTCACTCTTGAGATATCATGCTCAACAGTCGAAACAAATCTGGTATTTCCGCGCATCCATGAGATTATTCTCTATGTTATATAGGCATGGATAAGAATGCTATGTGGATACACATAATGGTATAAATAATGCAAAAATTATGTTAAAATCGACATACCGTATATTGTTCCATTTGATTTCGACAAACAGGAATGTAGGGACAAATACTTGAAACGCCAAACCCTCGGCTGTTATGCGGTTTTGTAAAAAACCTGGCGTACAAAACATTTTATATTTGATGCGTATTCAAGGTTGACAACATTCAATGATATCCATCCTCTTCTATTTGTATTAATTTAAGTTCCTTTTACAACGTTTATAGATCTTTCAAAGCTTCCAAATCATGAGGCGCACAAGGAAAATATACAAGATCCAAAGTCCAACGGTTTTCACGAAATTTGATTCTTGGCGACGCCAATACACGCAGTGATTTGATTGGCGCACAACAGGGTTAAACGCTTTCAGTGATTGATTGTTGTCAAATCACGCACATGCAGACGCGCAATTATTCAAATGCTAAATACTATATTCAGAAATATACTATGAACTGTAGAGAAAAGAATAAACCCATCCTGACTCTCTACGAAAGGTCGCTACGTGGTATTCGAGAATTCGAGTGTTGAATATCGAAAGATCTTAGAAGTGATGTGAATGCATAAGGTGAATGCTTGCATAGTTATGTTCTATTGGTTGATGACTGAAAGCGGAAAGGTAATTCAAAATAGCATATTCGATATCTTGTCATATTGTCTATCTTTATCGTTTTATTAAATATCCATTTGCCATATCAGGTACACTTAACTAGCTTTCGCTTATAAACTGATTGGCACAAAGTCAGGTCTTACGCTACTAATAAAACCAGGCCCATACATTTTTGGCCACTACAATTTATTATGCAGTGGTTTATTATTCATATTAATCTTTTCCTATAGCGAACACGTTCACCCCAAACAAACCAAACGGCGTTGCTACTGGACTGTTTGTTGAAACATTTTTGAACTGGCTTATATTAAGCTTTGAAGAAACGACTGATGCGCATGAAATAGAATCTAATTATATTTTGTTGACATTGTAAATACAACTACGCAAGCAACACTGCCGTCAACTTCGTTCCCAGGGTCTCTCCTTCTGTCATCTGGGAGAGACCTGGGAGGTAAATTCAATTGTAACTGTGAGAGGGGTGGGAAAGGAGCGTGTTTGTAGAGTTTTAAAATTGCAACTTTGGGTGATGAAATTCACTGTAAATTTGCAACAAGAAATCGTAAAGAGAACTCTTAAATTAATATTTATATCGTGACGTTCTACTCTATAATCTGGTGTCGAGTTACAATTCAAGCAAGTTGGATCAGATTTCATTATTGACTTGCCAAAGAAAGCACGCTTGCGGAGGCTTGCCGCTTGTTCAGCATGGCAATATTAAACCTACAAGAAAATATATATCTCCAGACCGAACAGTGTGGTTGTTATTTATTTAGTATTAAAGTCTATCCTGATACTTGGACCAAAAGAATTTATTTATTGATGAGATGTGGAATTGCAACGAAATAGCGAGATCTTTTGATTTCCGAAATATCGCCAACTGCATCCAGATTGTTGATCTATATAAAGGGCATACTTCGAAACCCGGAAAGGACTCGGACTCGGACCCGGACTCGAAGAAAATCCGGACTCGAGAAAAACCCGGACCCGGACTCGAAGAAAATCCGGACTCGTGTTTAACAAAACCCGGACTTGACTTCTGAAAACGCGGACTCGAAATAGACAAAACCGGATTCAAAACAAGGACTCTGTGCACGAGAATGCAAAGGTTTTATCGGTAATAACTCGCGGATAAATGGATTTGTGCTCTTGCGCGGGTGCCCCTTTCTCTTCTCGCTTTTGTATATAATAAAATACTTTATTTCAAAAGCAATAAGCTTTGGTTTCGAAAGATATAGATATTTTTTCTTCTAGTGACTCAGTGTTATGCGTTATCTGAGGATACCAATCAGTTATCATACTATATGGTTCCTCACAAAACAATCGCTATATAGCCTACCTAAACAAATCATTTAGCCTTATACATACTTGCTTACTTACTTAATTTAAAAAATTATTTAACCACGCTGACCATACACAACACATTTGTAAAATACATTCTCCTGCGAGTAGCTAAATCTACCCTACTTACCCTAGACATAAATTAATAACTGAAATCTGACTCAGCATAGCAAACTCAACGTGATCGATGGCGGCAAGGGTAAAATATATCCCAAACATATTCGACCTCACCATCGGCAAAATGACACGAAAAATAACTAGACTTCAACCAATCAAAAGTATAACTTCAACCAATTGAAAAGAACGCCGGAAAAAGCACATCTCATGTTGAAGGCAATGAAGGTATCGCGGCAACCGCGCCTAAATACCGACTGTGAAGTAATTCGAGCGTTGTTGTGCGGATGGACATAAATTTGATATTATAACATGCTCTCAAATAGTTGGACAATACGCTACTGGAAACACGTTTATTTTCTCTATTTCGTTAATATAAAGTCCATAAGCACGAATTAAACACCAACAATTATTCTTTATCCGAAAGTAGTAGAAAACACATCACAATGAAAGCAACAGCTGCAAGCCTGCACCCGCGGCCAACAGTGAAATTCGCGTTGGATGTGAAGATGGTTGGCGTAAATTTGATATTGAGACTCTCTCGTTAGGCAATGCGTTCATCATTTGCCCCATATGCCTTGCATACAAACGCGGCTCGATACTACCAATGACGTTTGACAATAATCAAGTTAACGTTATTTTGAGAATCAACAATCAACATGCTACCCTCGTACTAGCTACTAATTGTAGATCGTTGTGCATCAATACATTTTAGTTTTTAATAACTTATATAAGTGCCTAAATGATTTGGTTCCAGCATATCTAAGTGATTATTTTGTTAACAGCAGAAGTTAGATTAAAAATATCGAGATAAAGATATAAAGAGATCATCGTTTATCATGTTACTAATTATTAAACCTTTCGAAAAAACCTTTCCATTTTCGTACACAGAGTCCTTGATTTGAATCCGGTTTTGCCTTATTTCGAGTCCGGGTTTTCAAAAGTCAAGTCCGGGTTTTGTTAAACACGAGTCCGGATTTTCTTCGAGTCTGGGTCCGGGTTTTTCTCGAGTTCGGATTTTCTTCGAGTCCGGGGCCGAGTCCGAGTCCGGTCCGGGTTTCGAAGTATGCCCTATATAAAGGCCTTATCAAAAAAACTTAAAGCCCGTCAAAAGACTATAAAATTGGCCATTGGCATTGCTGAAACCAACGATCATGGTATATGTCAAAGTATAGCTGTCTGTTGAAAATCTACGGTATTAAAATCATACACCAAAGATAAGTCAAACGACAAATTATATGTCACTATATTATACATGTCTTTCAATGAGCACTCTTTGGTAGTGTTCACCACCTTTATAAATTTTGTAAAATGCTTTCGTTTTGACATGAATAAGCTTTAATTTTTTGCTTTAAATGCATTCTTAATAATACAAGTGAGATTTAAATTTTTGCTTCGTGAAATAGATTACCGTTATTTTTTAATGGACAGCTCATATCCAGGATTGCTTGTGTGTAAACGCATTATTCACTATATGACACTATCAAATAAATATAAGTAGCAAATGATTAATCAATTAGAGAAAACAGGTGATTCACAATGAAAACTTTAAAAATGTTAGTAGAAGTAGAAAACTCGAAAATTTATGTCTATTCGTATGACGCAAATGACGGTCTGTGCGCATCTGACACTGTAAATTTGTGATATAGATTATAGTATATTAACACAATATAATGAATCAGATTAATAGAGACCAAGAAAAAGGCTAAAGTCTTACTATAATTACCGAATACGAATTATGTATTATTAAATCCAGATAAGTCAATGACTGAAATTTCCTCTATGCTTATGGACATTTCTCTGTTTGGCTATTATCAAATGTTTACATTTGCTAATATTTGGGCCAGTCCTAGACAATACTGTTTCTTTTAAAAATCTTATAAACAAGACGCGTAGTAGCAAGAAAGGACAAAGAAAGGACAAATATATGGCCTATTTTAAAAACATTACAATAAACGTTTGTTATAACCGCGCTCGAGTGTGAAGAGATGTGAAGAGAGCATGCATTGAATAACAACACGAGAGAGCACTGCGAGTAACGATTTGCTTGGTTTCTTGACTTGACTATAAGTAAGAATTCAAAGCAACGAAAATAAACAAAAATTAGCAAGTATTTTGAACGTAATAATTCGCAAAATTTATGTTTTTAACGAATATCCCACTGGAAGCATGTTGATGTAATTTGATACTTTCCCCACACCCCTTCGGGCGCTAAATTTTTAATGAGGCACGTGACCAGCCGCAGCCAGGGTCTTTCCCAAAGAAAGATCCTGGGTACGAGGTTGCACTGGCGTTTGAATATTGTATAATTTTATATAGACAGTGCAGTTCTCTGTGATATACTATATGTATTTAGCATCTACACTTTTGCAACCCCAATATTTATTTAAAACCAGAACGGTATTTAACTTTTTTGTGCAGAGCTTGGTTTGATTATAATATTTAGCCAATATTTGAATTATTTCATGCCAACATATTGGCGTGAAAATCTATTACGTTGTTACACATATTTAGCAAAATTTGCGCATGTTTAAAATATCTCGCTAAACCGTAAAATTACGGGACATGCTACTCTTGGCAAAAACGCTTAGGCGATTGTGGAATTTGGAGAAAATTATGAATATCGAATATCCCTGTATATAATATTTCGTGTTATTTGAAAGTGTCAGAATTTCTGATACTTTGGAGTT